TAGAGTGGGGTATATTTTTCCTTACAACTTAATTACCTATACTTCTTTACTGTAATCTCCACTATAGCTTCATCTTTCTCACTTAGGATGGTATGGAGAAAATGAAGAATACAATTATTTTTACATATAACTGATAAATGTACCCATATGAAGTTCTATACTAGAGCAGCTTAGTCATATTTATGCCTGCAGCAATGCAATTATCCTCATGAAACCCTATAGCAGAACAGATTCAAGACCCAATATGCCATCAGATGTAAAAGCTGATGACTTTGGGCCCTTGATGAAATGGTGTTGGTTAGCAGCCTCTGCCTGCTCGAAGCTGTACACAGATATTGCCAGCGCCAGACAACTGAGAGCCAGGTGATGCAGGTAAGACATTTTCTAGAACATCTCAGAAAATTTGACATGTGAGGTATGCTGACTGAGGCAAAGAGAGAAACCTTACTTGAAACAAAGAACCACATTCTAGAACATGAAAACAAAATCTCTTGTGTTCAACCGTCTGCAGTTCATTTGTTTTATGTAAAGAAGTGCCTGAAACCTCCTTGGAGACTTTCCGATTCCGATATAAATACTGTGTCAACTCAAAGTAACCAGGAAACAAACTTTCCTGGAACAGGGGTAGGGCTAAACACCAGAAATGCCCAGTCTAGAATCGCCACAGCCACAGAAGTCACAGTGAATGATATGCACACACTCCAGTGAAAAAACGAAACCCTTGTTCTGTTACCCAACCTGGTGGAAATCTGGGATAACACAGAAAAAACAAAATTTCCAATAAAGCTGAGTATGTAAAGAAGACACTGAGAAGAAACCAGTGAGAGTGTAGCATTAAAGCAGGAGGCAGCAACGGTCTGAGAGACAACTGCGCTGCTACCAGGCTCGTAGGCCATGGACAAAACACTACTCCCACAGCTGAGCTGACCTGAGGCAGTCACTACTTCCACAACAGACAGTCTGCTACCAAAAACCAAATTGCAGCTCCAATCCCATCACACCTCCCTGTTCGCAGGCCTCACTTGCTCCCTCTTCTCTTATTATCCAGTGCTGAACCATGCCATCTGTTCATCACCCTTCCATTCATCTTTATCTCAGTTGTTTTCTTCTCCTTCCTGCTGTTGCTCTCCTCTTTTCTTTAGCCTTGTTCTGCCACAATGGGCAAACCCAGAACTATTTATATGTGTTGGCAGAACAATGTGTTGCTCCCTGGCTGGGGATGCCAGTACCCACTGAGGTCCCTCAGGCAGGACACAGGGGCTGCTGCTGTGCCTGTGTCCCCTCCTTCCTCTGTACTCTGCTGCCTTTCCTGGCTCCATTGGATTCCCGGAGCAAGTGAGAGCAAGTGGATAGGGTGGGCTAAGTATGGGGATACCATGCCTCAGCTACTGCTTTGGTCAGGGATGCCAAATGCTTAGACCAGCAGTAGAGGCAAGGCCTCCTGTCTTTTAATGTGAAATAAACAGAATACTTCAGAAGTCTGTCCAGCAGCTGACGAGTCAGCAGAGACCTTTGTAGAACAATGCAAAGCCAAACCAAAACAAAAACACCTCCTTCTTCAAAAACCCCAAACCACTGAAAGCAGTATTCCTCATACAACTACTCATATTAACTACAGTTTTCATGCAATTATTCAGCAATGCACAGACATGCTAACCTAGAGCAAGTGGGGAGGCCCCAAGACTTGAAACCATAAGCTGGCCAGGTGCAGAACCACGTGCTCAGCGAGGGTCTGTTACAGCAATTACCCACTTTGTGGTTTTAGGCAGCCTTAGGAGCTGTGCTTGGCACACTACCCACAGCAAATCAGTATTGCATATGGTATGTATTTACTAAAAGACTACAGATGATAAGATATAAATTCATATTCATTCATTTCCAGAACTTTCTATGTCAAAGCTCTAGGAGGAAGAGCACTTTTACATCGCTTCTGCTTAGAGGAAGAAAACAGGCATTTTGACTTCTGAACATAAAGCTAGGTTATATTTTCTAGACTAACTTTTAAAATGCTTGGTTTATGCTGCGCTTCATTTCTGGCAGCAGAATCGTCCTAGCTACGTAGGAAGCACAAGTGTCTGACATCCAGATCTGAGCAACATCACATGAAGATGTACTGTTATTACAACTGTAAAACTGAAATGCCTTCTCATAATCCGAAGGGTGCTTACGTACTATTTCCATAGCATGGCTAATTTATTTCATAAGAATCTCTGCTGTAGAGAAAAAACTTCACTTAGAATATTCCTGCTGTGCTACAGCTGAGAGGCCCATTGCACTCTGTGTTCCTGGGTTCAGTGATAGGCTCAAAGCTCTCCACTCTCATTGCCACATTTAGACGTTACTTCCATCTTCTCCTTGGAACCTCATCTAGTAAGGAGCTAAACTAAGATGACAGCAAATCAGGCTAAGATCTTTTTAAAAAGGATGAGAATCCAGGACATTTTCAAGGAGGGTGCATCCATTTTTTAAAAATACAGAATATCATTAAACGAACAAACAAAATCCTAACATAAACACACTTACAAAGCACAATGCAGGTTACTGGCTGACACCTTCTAAAGGTATGAACACTGAAAGCAGGAACATGACTACTTGGATGTGATTTCTGGCCAGAAGTTGACAATTCTGTTCCTCACTCTTGCAAAAATTCCTCAGGCAGAGAGCAGCTGCAAGAAGCCCAGCTTGCTGAGGTGAGCAGCTACATGACACTAATGAACTGCACAGTGACCTGCTGCTTGGGGAACAGAACTGGGATAAATGGGCTGGATTCTGTCTGTACATTTGACTTTGACCTCTTTCAAGACTATTACCAACTCACATAAGCCATGCAAACCATTTAAAGTTTCATGTTACAGTTCTGGTTGTTTTCTGACTTCATTAACACTACACACAAGTAAGACCAGGAGGATAAACAAACTACTGCTTTAGCACCATGCAGCTGATGCACAATCCACACAGCTGATGTTGCTTACATTCCAGCCTACCATGGTCAGTAGGAACCCAGCTGAAAGCACCTTGCAGCCATCGGGCTGTCTCATGGGTTAGCTCCCTCCCCACACCTTTCAGAGAACAACCGACAGAACTGAACTTCACAGCATTTCTTTCTCAACTGCGACACATCCACTGCAGTGACCACTGTGCTCATCCCCTCCTCTTCAATCCATGACTTCTGAAGGTGAACAAGGAGGAGACTTACTAGGAAAAAAATGTCATCATCTTGAAGATCACTGGACATCTGGAAATGTGGTAGCGGCATTTTGCTAAGCTAAGATCAATTTTCAACTCAGAGGGGAAGAATTCCATAGAAATTATGTTTCAGAAGAGGCTGCAGCAGCAGACCAGGATGGCAGCCACGTCCCACTCTGTGACTGAACCGCTCACAGCAGAGGCATTCGCAGTCTTTCCCTTTCTTGACGCTTGGCTGAACAAAGCATTTACTCAACATGCTCAACCCCCCACACAGCCAGAATCCAGCTGGCCTACTGTCCGGGGGGGAATTGCAAATATACCCAAAGCACTCGTGAAACTTTGTAGCACCTCCACCACTCCACATCACTCCAGGAACCCTGCTACATTTTGTTTCCTGCTTGCTCAGGGCAACCTTGAGGTTCACTGTATCACTGCTCACACATTATGGGAGTGAACAGTGGAACTTCAATTTATCAGGTAAAAGAAGGAAGTGATAAAAATGCAAAGTGTCATTAAGGAAGGAATTAGTACGCCCACAGAAGTTCACAACTGCAAACCCAGAGCCTTGCCCTGACATGACCATCACCTCCTACCAGAAACGCAGGCTCCACAAACACAAGCTTTATTTCTCGTTCTTCTTCCATTTACCAGCAAATACAGTGCAATCCTCATCCATAATTTATTAAGTCATCAAACCTAGTTCAAACTTTTTTTTTGTTTTTATAATAACCTAAGCAATTGTTTGAGTTTGAGCTCTGTCCCCACAGTGTGTGCCATGGACAACTGAGACCGTCTGCACTGCCCAGCACAGCCTGTTCCTTCTCAACTGACACCAACACATTCAGAAGCTCCCAGAGGTGCTTGTGAACCAAGAGCTCATAAATGAGTAGATTGGATCCACACTGCAGGAACTTTCTCTTCTAAAATAAGTATACATATTAGCACCATTAAAGGAGTTCAAGTTGCTTCCAGTTATTCCAAACCTGACCTGGCTTTGCAGCTTTGCAAACCCCATCTTCTCTCACACTCCTGCAAGCAGGAAGCTGTGCAGCTGACTGCCAGCTTTCAGCAGAAAGGTGCATCTACCTGTCAGGTTTGCAGCTGACGAGTTACCTGCTGTGCACACGCCAGCCTGCATTTCCCACTGCATTCAGTACAGCGGTTTTTCCTCCAACATAACAGAGATGTGACTCATTACGGCAAACCTGGATGCCAACTTTGAAGTTTCAAAGGTCAGATTTTTGTTTTATCTAAGTAATGAAAGTGTTGGATGTTTTTCTTCTAGTTCTGCTGGGAAGCACCAGCTTACCGCTGAGGCTCCTTCCAAAGAGCACGATCGTCCATCACCCCTCGTGCTGCCGACTCCTTAAAAGGCCGCGGCGTTACCTCGGCGCGGCCCGGGGCCAGAGCAGCCTAGCGGGGTTCCAGCGGAACACGGCACGCTCGCCGCCTTATTTGGGAAACCCTGGCCCTCAGCAGGGCCTGGCACCGCTCGCAGCCAGGGAGCTTCTGTAAACTGCGCCTCTGGCAGGGGGTGAACGAGCGGGCACCTCGCGTCGCGGATCCCAGCAAGGAGCGGGGGCGGGACGCCGGGGCACCGAGCGGGGCTCGCCCGCTCCGCAACGGCCCCGAGCGAGCAGCCCCGGGGCCGGCCGCGCGTGCGGCAGCTATCGCAGGAAAGAGGAAAAGGAAGCCCCGGGCCGAGCGAGCCCGCCCGCCGGCGCGCCCCGTGCGGGGACACCGGGCCGGGGCGGGCGCGGAGGCGGCCGGATCGGAGCCCCGCCCGGCCCCGCACCCCGCGGCGGGCGGGAGGCGTATGGGAGCGCCGGCGGCTCCTCCCCGGCCGTGCCTGCGGGAGTGGGAATAAAGACAGATAGCGGGGCCCGGAGCAGAGCGCGGAAAGTTTCCTGCGCGGCCCGCGGGCGGCGGCAGCGATGTCTGTGCGGCGCGGAGCGCTGGGGCTGGGCGGGCTCCGCGGGCCGTAGGGCAGCGAGCGGGGAGAGGCGAGCCCCCGGCCCGTCCTCTGGGCGGCGGGAGGAGGCGGCCCGCGCGGGGACGGGGACGCGGCCGGAGCGGGAGCGGCAGCTCGGAGGCGGCCGCCGCTCGGGGGAAAGATGAGCTTGTTGTCAGCCATCGACACCAGCGCCGCGTCCGTGTACCAGCCCGCCCAGCTCCTCAACTGGGTCTATCTCTCGCTGCAAGACACGCACCAGGCCAGCGCCTTCGATGCCTTCCGCCCCGAGCCCTCCTCCTCGCAGCACCCCGACCTCGGCTACACCAAGAGCCCCCCGGAGCTGGGCTCCTCGCTCAGCTCCAGCTATCTCAACAGCTTCTTCCAGCTCCAGCGCAGCGAGGTGAGTGCCCCAACCGCCATGATGCCGAGCCCTCGGCCGCCTTCCGCCCCACGGGGGACCGCGGGGACGCTGCCCCACGCCGCTGTCCCGCTAACCCGTGTTGACAGTGTGGTAAATGGTTACCGGGATCCGACCGTCCCGCTGCCAGAAGTGCGGAGGAGGTGGAGGGACGGACGCACGGAAAACACCGCGTCCCTACTAACAGCGAGACGTACCCCCTCTATTTAAAAGTCATATTTAAATCACTTTCTTCTCTCTAGCTATAGCCACTAAATCACTTTGGTATCTATATTTATAGGCTGAGAAAGTATAAGAAGGGTCGTGACAAAAGCAAAAAAGTTGAGTGTGCATTTTGTCGGGCGAGACTGGGCTGTAGGGACCCAAGGGAAGGAAATTAAATAACTCTGGGGCAGGCAAAGACAGTCTGCTGCAGAGTGCCTTGCCACAGGAAGTTGTTGGGGTCAAGCACTTCTGCAGTGGGGGTCTCCACTGGTGCACGGCAGCTAAAACCCTCCAAACAGCAATGCTGTGCCCTGGGGAGGGCTCTCGCCTCGGGCGTTCTATGGTGGCTGCACTGGGTGAGGGTTTGGAGTGCCGTGCCCAACCTCCTGAGCACTGCCCAGAGAGGGACGTTTCTGAGTCCTCCCAGCACAGGCTTCAGAAGTGTTCTCAGTCAAAATATCTATTTCTAATCCATCACTGACAGGGTTGTTCAATGAAAACAACTCAAGTTCCCCACCAGTCACCATATTACAGCTGCTAGGAGTGAGGAGCTCAAGCTGTATACGCATTCTTTTTTCCTTAATTAGAAATCATTTCTTGCTTAAAAATCTTGCAAAGACATCCAGTCTCAAAACAAACTGTTTCTGAGAGCGCATAACTCACAATCCAGTCAGCCTGATGCACCCTTAGCAAGCATAACAGAATACTTGATGTAGGAACACACAGCCTTTGCAGCACATCGATTTTGCTGGAATGGGCAGCATACCACAGCCCCCTGTTACCAGATAGGTTTTGCTACTCCACGTGAAGCAAGAGCTTTGTGCTCCTCAGGTAGTCATGAGAGCCAAGTTGAGCTATATGCCCCCGGCCCAGAGTGGGATGCTGCCCAGCCCTGGGGCTGGTGCACTCAGGGTGTGCTGTGCTTAGTGTGGCTCCTTCTTCTGGGGAGAAAGAAGGTAGAAAAAACAACCCCAAAACAAAGAACCACCCACAAAAGCAGATGAAGGGCATATGCACGAAGCCCCCAAAACAGCCTCCAGAAGTTTTCCTGAAGTTTCTCCTGACTTCATTCTCCTGTTTCTACTTACACTTTTCACAAGTAGGAGTTAATCCTTTTGTCACACTCTCTCCCTTTCCTCTTGGTTCACATCTCTCTCCATTTTTCCCCTCACATTCCTTTACCACTTCTCTCTGGAGCACTGTCTCCCTGGCTCCTCATGTTTTACCCAGGTCACCCCGCAGGCAGCAGCCAGACCTGTGCCACCCACTGGCCCTGCTGCAGGGAGCTGCCACCTGGGCCACACTGCAGCACAACTCCTTACCCTCTGAGGGAAGGGATCTTGCACAGGTCATGTCTTTGCTTCCAGGCTTGACCTGAGCTGTGTATTAATACAACTCGTGCTTGGGGATGAGGGAAGAGGCATGGCAACCTCCTAGGGCACAGCAGCATCCACTGAGCGTGCTCTGAAGGAAGTGGGAATGCTTTCAGCTCCCCCAGCTAATGCTGCTTGCTTATACAGCTGCTTCCATTGACAGGTTTAGAAAGTGTTAGAGATGATCTTGCTCAATAGGAAAAGTTCTGTCCATATGCTAGATGTTTTGCTCTTTCCAGAAACCAAGTTAGGCTGCTTTTAGGCAGGAGCCACCCGAGAGTTTCCTACAGTGTCATGCTCTCAGTTCTTGAAATTCTAACATCTGTTTATTTGCAGGTGCCAGTCGGCATAAACTAAGTATTTTGAGTGTGTAGAACTATTTTGGGGAGCAACAGTGCTGTGTGCTACTTGTGCATCAAGTGGGCTTATGCTATCTTTGGAAGACACGTAGCCTTCCACAGTTAAATCGTTGACTGTTTTCTGCACAGTGCTTGCTTTGGCTGGCATTTTTTTCCTCCCAGTTTTGTCCTGGATTGGCTTAGCCTGGAGCTGGGCTGTGACAATGATTGACACATAGCTGTACACAATATTTGGAAAGTGACCTAATGAGTGGCCAAAATAGCAACAGATTGAGAAATGGTAGGATCATAGGATATAAAATAGTTAGGCGTCTTGTATGTTGCCTTGCAATTGAAAATTTCTCGAGGAGATTGCTTAGGATGAGAAACAGCACTTGTAAGAAGCTGCTGTTATACTGGGTTTGCAAGTCTGCATGGCAGTGCCTGTGTATGTGACCTGCATGCTGACCAAAGAGCTGGACAGAAATAAAAAAAAAAAAAACAACAACAAAAAAAGCCAGCACCCACAGAGTAGTCTTGCACTTCACCAAGATTTTTGTCCTCCAGACTTTTTTCCACTACAATGGATGCCTTCTAAATAAACATGATGAACACAGCTGTTTGGTGCATAAAAGCCCATTGTACCCAGAAAAAAAGCAATAATAAAGGTTTAAACAGTAAAGTGACAATGAATGTTTTGTTCCACATGTAAGACCCATTTTGAAAAACAGACCTGCTTTAAATAAAACTTTACTGCAGCATTTGTTGTCCCAGATATGAAGAGAAAGCATGTTAGAACATTAAGATGCATTAGATTGGCTATTGAACTGAACTCCACCTTCATTCTAACACCATCCATCAGGGCCAAATATCTGAGGTTTTGCTGTGGGGCTGGCTACATGGGGCTTAAGGCATCTGAGACACAGCCAGGTAACTGTGGCTTTGTGTCACTGAGTGGTATAATTGAGAAACCCTAAATAATGGTGCAATAGGGTCCTAAGGCATTTTCCTACTCTCACAGTGGGCTTCTTACTAAATCAGTGCTGACTTCAATCAAGAGGAGCCAGCCACAAGTAACTCTAAGTTATCATAGTATAATGAAACGTGTTCCTTTGGACACAGAGTGCTAATTCCAGCACTGGCCAATATTTACATGAGAAGGAGCCTGAGTCCTAATGAATTCTTTGCCCACGTACAATATTTTGAATGTCTTTCCAAGAGGGGAATTCCTTCCAGAAACTTCTACAGCAGCCGCTTTCCAGATCTGAAGCATTTCGTACTTGAGCAAAAATAGCTGCATGTTTTAAATTAGAAAATAATCACTGTTTTTGAGAAGTAGTTCATGCTTTTGACTCAGGGACTTCCAGACCCATTCCTTACTGTCAAGAGGGGAACTAATTGGGAATGAGGAAACATGAGCTAGTTCAGTTGGTTACATTAAAGTGTAGATCACAAAGGAAGGGAGGAAGGAAAATTTGGAAGAGAAAAAAAAAAAAAAAAAGGAATGTTTAGTATGGCGAAAACCACTCAAACCTGAGTGAAACAGAAGCGCTGAGATCGGTGCTGCTTATCAGACAGCCTCCCAGAGAAGAAAGGAGAAAGGTTATATATGTCATTGTCACACACACGTTAAAGACCACTCTACCCCCTCCCTCCCACTCCCCCCAAAAACAGAAAAACAAACAAAGAAACACAAACAACAGCAACAAAAAGAAACGCTTGCAGGAACATTTATGGAACGAAGCTGGCACTTCTGCATTTCTACTGAAAACACAGTTTATATCAGGCAATCCTGTTCACTGTCTTCCATAGATTTCTGGGCATATCACCTACCTTGATACTTTACAAAGTAAAATTTGTTCTTTAGCCTAGGTGGGTTAATTCGAAGGGTAATGGTAAGATTAAAAAAAAATTTCTCTGTAGTCTCCTGCTACTGAGAGGATGGGAGATCACCATACAATATCAGACCCATTAAATATCTGTCCCATTAAATGAACTGTCAGGTCTCTGAGAGCAGTCATGAATCGAAAAACTAGCTGGAGAGATCCAAGAGCAAATACAGCAGAGATAAGGATTAGCAGAAATCACTGAAAGCTCTGCAACACTTCTGATTGCCCCTGTTTTCTGGTCTATCCTTGGTCACCATACCACAGAGCATATCTGTGGTCACACACAGTGCTTAGTGTGCTCAGCCAGGATTTCTTGTTTCTCTGCTGCAGACTAAACAACAACAGCTATCTCCTCTTATTTAAGCCTTCTTAAGTGCGGAGCAGTACAGGTCATGAAGGCACGTTAAAAATAAATTCCTTATAAGCAGTTTGGTTCCTGTATTTATTATTCTTCCAGTGAAAGTAGGATCAGACCTTAGCACAGTCAGACAGTGGGCAGCACCACAAAGCATCAGATGCACTGCACAGGACTGTTCCTGCAGTAAGGCTCTCTTACCTGGAGAAAGGCAACAAGGCAGGCTGACTGCTGGCCTCAACCAGTGCTCTCATCTAGAGTCATAGATGGTACTATTACTCAAGCTTAGACATTTGGCTCTTTATTTTCAAATGTAAACAGAGCAAGAATTATTTAAATACTTAAAGCGTACATACAAAAAGCTAAGTCTGCAAATAAGATCTAGAATCTTCAATGCATTATCCTAAAAATGTTAGCAGCCTGACATAAGCAGTTCATGTACAGTGAATTTCACATATTTGAGAAAAAAGTAGACTGCATTACAGAATAATTAAACACCCCACCATGACTGCCTATTGTAAAGTCCTCTTGAAAAAAAATCCTTTAATAGTAGTGATTATGATTTCATTGATCTCCTTATCTTTATTTTTCTCAGTATTTTTTGTCACTTCCAGTGAAACCGTAAGAGTTGGACCTGATCTTTATGGATCCATTCCAACTCAGGATACTCTGTGGTTTTATTGTTCTGAGCAAGTGCTAACACCTCAGTGGCCTTATCCTCCTAACCAACTTTATTGGGAATGCCATAGCTCAGCAATTCTTGTGTTGGAGGCACTTCTGCTCTCTAACTCAGGCTGGCTGAACCTCACAGATATCCTACAAC